AAATTCACTGCTTCACTGTTTTCCATTCTTGGAAAATATTTAAGAACTGTGGTAAACAAAAACAAAAAAATAATAAAAAAAATAAAATACATAAAAATAAAAAATTAAAAAAAATTAATAAAATAATAAAAAAATAAAAAAACTCTGCCCCATAGAATCATTTCAGGATAACTGACACTTTAACCATATGGAAAACTTTCATGACACATGCTTGGCATTCACATGACTAGGCTTTAAGTTTAAATAGATTTGAGTATCTAATTTATACCACTGACCTTCCAGAAATACCAGGCCAGCACCCCCAGCTACAGCCTGTTTCCAGTGAGCTGAATGAACAAAAAAGCCAATAGCAGTGTCTGAAGCCCAGGGCTGTAACACCTTCTGGGCATGACCTATGTTTGCCCATCTCTCAGAATCCAGACTTACATTAGCAACACTCACGCAGCTGTATTGGTACAATAAGCTGTATGCTGTAAATAAAGTCCAGCATGTTTAGGAAGCTCATCATTCATGCTTCTTCCACTGCAGGTGAACCTCCACAATTTTCCTCAATACAAGATACACATCTTCACCAGCACTCAAACAGTAAGTCCAAGCTAAAACCCAAATATTCTGCAGTTACACAGTGATTTAAAGTCTGAAACATTTTACATGATGGAAGATCAGAAACTATATGTTTAGGGCCAGTGGAGAGAAACATAAGTGATATTTCAGAGCTGAAAGATGTATCAAGTAGCTTCTAGATTGTATTTTCCAAATATATATCACAGCAATTAAGTGAATCCTCAGGAAGGTCTCAGAAGCAGATTAAATGGTCTGCCTAGACAGCAAGGGCATTTCACAATTTATTTCAGAAGGCTTACATATTGATTTAAAAAATCATGACATACTTTAAGTTAAAGAATAAATAAATTAGGTCACTCCTTTTATATACTGTTAAAAAGAAAATACAGTTGACATTTTTCATGTCTTTCACCAGTTAAAGCCCTTTCCTCTATGTAAACAGATGACAGTGGCTTTCTCAGATAACATCTCTATTAGAAAAGTAGGTAAAAAGGTCATGTTGAATATAATTAAGACCTGCAGTCCATTTCAATTTTACAAGTATTTAAATTTCTGGACAAAGAGAGCAAAGGTGTATTTATATAGTATTTTCTACCAGAATTTAGAATTGATTTCTTCCTAGAAAAGAAGCTAGGCTCTTCCTAAGAAGAATAGAACCAACAAAATTTCTACTTCAGTTCTCTTTTGTTTTTTACTGCTATTGATGAGTAAGACTAAAATTGTGTCACAACCTACAAGAATACAATTGTGTCATGAATTAGAAATTCTAATCCAGTGGGATCTCTATTTCTTAAGGAAAAGTTCTATTCCATGGCCAAGTCAAATCAAATCAGAATCTCTAATTCTTCATCCTCTTAATATTGTTCAGATGTTGAAGGAAGTTAATATGATAATGTAACTCAATCAATAATTTTTGTTCATGTGCAAAGCAGGCAAGTACTGATGAGGTGAGAACAGGCATCACAACCTAATTGGAGAAGCAACAAAAAGAGAATAAAATATCAGCTTTAAAGCACTGACATGATGTTCTGTGCAGTAACAGTCTGCAACATTCCAAGGGCATGCATAAAAACAGAAGATTCAATCAATTCAATCTTCAATCAAGAAGATTCTACAATAGGAGACAAGTCGGGAAAAAAAACATGAAGAATGTGGTCTATTTAAGGACTGATTTAATAACCACACATTTTTGCACAACTATTATGCCAGTTTACAGTCTCTGTAAATCTGTTACAAAAAACCTATTCAGAAAACATCAAGGTCATATCTTCCTTGTATCAGCCAAGAAACACATTCTTACTAAACATCTGGAAATTTATGAAGACTACCCGAAAGAACCGTCAGAAAATTGTCTTAGATTTAGCCCAGTGGTAGATATGACAGCAGATATTAACAGCTGCTATATTCTAAATGCTGCAGGGGTACTATTCAGTGGTTGCTTTCTATGCCTCAGATAAAAACAGGACAGGAAGTCTCAAACTATGCCTCTATACTGACTCACTGTTTAGATGTTCTGAACGTCCAACAGATCGTCAGGAAATGCAGGGCACAGTTACACAGTTTAGAAAGCTATCATTCCTTTAAAAAAAAATAAATAAATAAGGAAACAAAACAGAAACCACCACACAGCTTTTGTTAGTGACACCACTGTATACATGGAAGTTGGGAAACAATGTTTGGGTGATGTGTGTGACTTTCATACAGCATTTTTTTGGTTAAGTTGGCTATACAAGGACAGATATTTGCCAACATTTTGGTGGTTGTTCCTGCAGCTGAATAGGCCATTGTATTTTAAAGCAAGGCTTCATCACAGCTTGAGGGGCAAGGGAAGTATTACACTGACCTTTTCACCAGTCATCATATATTTCAACCCCCAGTTTGAAAAAGAGGGCTGCAGAGAGCTGTTCAAGAAGATGGCCATAAATCAGGCTGTAGGCAAGTGGCAAGAAACCTTTCCCACAACAGGACACTGCAGGTGTGAATGCTTGTGACTGAAAAACTAAGACCAACTCTCACTGCACCGAGGACAGAGAGGAAGGAAGAGCAAGGAGAACAGAGGGGCACCTGCTAAAATTTTAATCAGCTAATAGGTGTATCAGTGGAAGAAGGGTTAACAAAGAAACTACACATAAAATCTAACATGTAATGCAAGGTACTAAAGCTTTTGTTAACTAAGTAACAATTTTTCAGGTCTTACAAAGTGTAACCAAATACTGGCCTTGCAACACATCCTATCTCCTTGTTTAAGGAGAATTCACTAGCAAAAATCCTGAATTCACAAGCTTCTTCAGCAGTTTCCAACAAAAGGTATTTGAACTCTTCCCAGGACTATATATTACCCACAGCACTATCCAAAAGCAATACCACTAAACATAAACAATTTAAATAAGGCAAAATGAGCAATGTTTCATATGTCTACTATGTAAGATGACAACATTTGATCATTGTTATAATGCTGTCACAGAAACGGCAGAGACTGAGGTGTGACACTGTGTTTCTGTTTCAATGTGCTCACTACAAATGCAAACTATTATTTTCCATCAGCAAACAATCAGCTTGCTTGTTGACTTCTCAGTAGTCAAACATTTTAAACTTTTCATACTAGTATTGACTATAGTTATTAACAGAATTCCCCACTTTTTCAATGCTTCTAGGCATTCTCATATATTAAAAGATCAACTTGAAAAAAAACCCACACATATATTTGCTTTCCTTGTTCCTCACGTTTTACAGATATTTACTGAACCACAGTACAAAGAAACACAGCTTCCTTTAGCAGCAGGAAACAACAGCTAGAAACAAGTGAATCTATATTTCAAGCACTACAGTCAATACACAGGTTTATCAAGTTAAAAGCTGTAATCAGCTCTTGACAAGTGAAAAGTACTGACCAAGGAACTGACAAAAAGTCAGTGGAAAAACAAAAAGTCAAAGTGGGCAAGAACCCTTCGGTCAACTCCATAAAATATGCTAAGCACAAGCAGCTTAAACAAAACAGTAACTTCTTCAGGTGATCAAACCACCTCTGATGGCTCACATCCCACGATCTACTAACACCAGCACATCAAGAATGCCACAGCTTCTTCAAGTACAGCACTTGCATTGCGATAATAAAGAAAATAAGAATTTGACTTGACCACAACAGAGCACTACTGACAGCCTCTGTTTCAACACGAGGCAGTGAGGAGTCCATCAAAAGCCATACTCAAGCTGCTCTGGCTCTGAGGAGATTGGTCCCACACCACTCCTAGAGAGCGGCACAGCTCAGTCTCACCACAGATCCTACTCACTTTAGCAGGTGACACTTCACACTGGAAATGACAGCTCAAGTTATCTCTAGAATAATCAAGGTATTGATTCCTTCCATCATTTTTGAGAGTAACATCCAATAACTTGAAGTTTTCCCTTCAAAAATACAGTGCAAATACACACCAAGTATAAGGAAGGAAAAAAGCACTACCTAGCAAATGTAACAAACCAAATAAAATCGCATCACACATACATCCTAGAATAAACACTTAAGATTTCAAAACTCAACAAAAGTAACATGGGCAGAAATAATGCAAAACTTCACCTCTATACAAACCCATTTAGTGCACAGCAAGCTGCCTACCCCCAGAAGTCAAATCTACTCTGTCACAGTTTGTAGCAAAAAGAATCAGATAGCCTTGTGCAGCTGGAGGCTGTTAACTTCCAGAATCTAAATTCTTCTAGTTCTGCAGCATAAAACCACACATTTTGGTTTAAATGTGCAGTTTTACACCACACAACTGGAAAAAAAATTAGAAATGCACTACAATTTACATCTATTAGCTGAAACAGCCTTTGCATTTTCTTGGGGGGATAAAAACATCCAGTAAGATTACCTATTAAAAATTTGTTTTTCTAATTATTTTTATAAAGTTGCTGCAATACATAAGCTCTTAAAACATGTTCTAAAAGAGAAATTTCTGAGTTTTTATATTACCACCCTCTGCTTTCTTTTACCCAAGGTACCTATCTTGCACTAGAAATCCACTTTTTTAAAAAAGTTAGCTAGTAAGAGCTCAAAACATTTCTTTTCACAAAGGATGTACCTGATCCAACACCATACTTATCATGATACCAAGTCTGATGTGAAGAAAATCAAATAAGGAATCAGTCTTATTTATCAGAAAATCAAGCAAAAGCTGTTTAAAAAAAAAAAATTATATATCAGTGACTGCAAGTCTTCCAATACTGAAAATGTCTCATGTGACAGACAACTGCAGAACAGAAAACTAGACCTGAATTAATTCTTCTGATGAATGTATACTTTGGAATCATGCATATGAAATCACATTGTGTTTAAGCAAGAAATCAAAAGAAACAATATAAAAGGCTAACACCAGGAAAATATGTAGTTACTTGAAGCAGCCCATCACCAAAGCTATTTAAACAAAATAAACAAGACCCACACTAATAGCTGGGAGGTCACGAAGCTCCTGTCTTTCTTCTATCCCAGGGTGCTCACTCTGGTAATGTTCAGACAGATCAGTAGGAGTTACACACACTTTCATACACAATGGACAGATGAAGCCCTGTAAAATGTATATTTGATTTTAAGAAACTAATAAAGAAAAAAAAAATGCAGATCTGGAATCAAAAGTTTGAATTCTTATACTGAAAGCTCTCTACAGTCACCAAAAGCAAAGTCTGTTTTCCTTTTGGAGAAAGAACTTCCACAAACCATACCGATACCATAGAAAAAGCAAGAAGGAAGAGTTATTAAGGACATGAAAATAAATAAATCTAAAATATGCCTTAAAAACTAGGACCATGCTGCATACAACTATGTGTTTTCCTTACACTCTTGGTGCTCCCTTCATGTGACAGAGGAACAAACTGCATAACAAATTGTGAATGGAGCATTACAAGGCATTATGTCACATCCATCGCAAGGTTTCCCATAAGGGTGTTCAGATGTTTCAGAGAAAGAGGGAGGAGTGGTGCAGTGAGACTGCAGAAATGCCTCTATAAATTAATAAGCAAGTTTGCAACAGCAGCAGGAGAGGCTGAGGCAAACCTGTCAACGCAGTTACATTACACAAAGAGAGCATCTCATCACTGGTAGACTCACTGCAAGAATGGAATATTTAGCAATCCTGTACTGCAGACAGAGTTGCACTGGGACCTAAGCTGAAAAGGTAAGAGAGACTCAAATGTTTCCCCCGTGGACAGATTGCACAGTGGATAAAAGATTTCATTATGGGTCTACCTGTGACCTGAAGTGCCAACATGGTCACAGACAAGACATGAGCAAATTTTTACCTTTTCTTGAGCAGTGTGAGTAGTCTGAATTCAGACTATCTCACTCCTGTTTCATACCACTATTCTTAAAAATCAGGATTTATTTCAACCAGGCTTGAGGAGAAAGGAAACATAAAAATCTGCACAGATTTAATAACTATTCTCCATTTGAATCTTACAACAATACAAATTTAAAAATCTAGCCAAGAAACTGGAGTGAAAACAAGTTAATGGACTTCTGACTGCGTAACAATGGAGAATCAGGTAGGAATATCATAATAAAACAAACAGCAAACATTCTGCAGAGACCAACTATGGTGCTCCTGAAGAGAAGCTCCAAGAGAGAGGAGCCCTCAGGCAAACTGTGAGGGAAAAGTAAGGCTAACAGATTCAAGTAGCATTACATGTGAATCTAAAAACCCATCACCAAGTTCAGAGCTCAGTTTCAAACAGACTTTGAAATTCTATGTTAAAGACAATACTCAATGCAAGAAATGATGGACATTATGGACAACTAAAAGACACTTTTTAATGTAACACTTGTATATCAAGAGTGACAAGGCAGCCTTTGGTCTGACCCAGTTTTGACTCAGTAGAAAGAACAGCCAATGGGGCAATAGTGCAGGCACACCACCACACTGAAAGCTCCCACATCAAAAAAACACTGCTCCATTAGTATTGAGATATGTTATGGCAGCCACAAGCTGTACAGTCAGCAATGTTGCACCCGTATTAACAGAACTGTAACACTTTAGCCAAACTTTAGAAAGAAGTAATCATCTCATTGCATGTTTTTATGCCTTAATCAACTGCAAAAGTAATACGATTTTAGTCTACAATTTAAGAATATTTATTTGCTCCAGGGATTGTTAAATATGCACACAAAACAAATTTGGACTCAAAAATCTGTGACACGTATAACATGCAGCAATGTTTGATTAAATTGATGGCAATAAGGCTTCAAGAAAGAAGAAACAAGCAGATGCACAGGATTTTAAACAGCACAGTGAAAGTTTATCCTATCTTTTATCATATCACACACAGGAGTATTTTAATCATCACACATTTTATTCAGTGTAAGAAAGGGCACTTTGCTCCCTTTAATGTTGTAATAGGGGTAATTAACCTTGCCCTGTATTTGTATGTTAAGCTCAAAACATTTTCAAGATAGGTAATCAGGCTATATTAGCACAAACAAGCTTCAACAGCCAGTGAAGTCAGTTTGCACTTTTGAGACTTAATGTCAGACAACACTGTACAAAAACAAAGACATTGCAATATAGGATTGCAGCAAGAACAACTAATTCTGCTGATTAAGTATGGAACAGTATTCAGCATGAAACACTGATAGGATTTATACTCCAACATCAAATATAACCAAATATATTTGATATTTCATAAGAAGGAAGAGGCTTCCAGTACACATTATATCTTAGCAGAAGAAAGGTGAAACTGGAGGATGAGCATGATAAAATGTCAATCCTTGTTTTCTGCAGCTCTCATGAAAGATTTATTAACAAGGAGCCTTAAGCTTACATCTCATTGCTCTCAATTTTAATAATTCATCTCTAGAACTACCATTGTTTGTGACCACTTAGATAGATAAGCCTAATTAATAGTTACATATAAACATGGCCTAGTCTTCCTTTTTTTATTTAAATACCAAACAGTTTTTAGAATATGACATTTGCAAGTATTTGTTTAGTACAGCTGATATTTAGGAAGGGCATCAAAAGTTACTGCAACGGCTCCATGGATCAGAGAAACAGCATCCAAGTTTTAAGACACCAGTCCTGTGTATGGTGCACAGTACCTCTGAAGAGCCTTCGTTGTTCACGTCCACGGTATTTCCAGGTGTGGCAGATGAATCCGAATCCGAACTCTGAGACCCACCTCTACCAGGAGTCTGAAATAGATGGGGAAGGCAAAAATGAGAGTCCACATTTTAATACTTAATAAATATTTAATAAAGCACAGTACATATCCTACGCAAAAGCCTCTCTTCTACTTGTTGGAATACAGAGGTATTTTCCCTCCATAAGAAGTGAACAGGCTGACAAGCAACTATATAATTTTCAGCACAACACTTCAACAAAAGCTTCTATCCAACACTCTCCATCCATAAAAGACCAAGCAGATACCAGAAGCAAAGGCCAGGATTTTAAACCGCTTCCTCTCATGAATGCTCACCACAAAACAAAAACTTTGTTCAAACTCTGCCCTTGTATCACTCTCAGAGATGTTAAATTAGGTCACTATATCCTACAGGAAAACAGTAGAAATTACAATCTAAGAAGTTTCATTAGTAATAAACTAGTATCATCCTACTTTCTTGATAGCTTGTCTACGTTCTGGACAAGCTCTTAAACATATGAAAGACTAAAGTTTGAGAACCCTGTCAATTCAACAGGCACACAAGCAAGTAAGCTGCCTTGATTTAGAAAAAAATAAAAGAAAATAATCAAGGCTGTGGTAAAGTTAAAACATGCTAATCAGTAAGACAACCTATAAAGATATACTCCTATGAATATGCTGAAAATCAGAACAACAGTATTGACTTGAAACTACAGACCTGGATAAAATAAGCAAATAAACTTTAAATATTACATGATTCAAAATCTGGGTAGATGGATTGTATCTTATAATCCTTGTTTAATTATAACTTTGATTTAAATTTTATTTAACTTCTCTTACTCATCTCCAGAATGTCACTGCTTAACTGATGGCAGAAGAGTAAGCATTCTCAAAGCAAACATCATTTAAAAATTATCTCAATATGTACATGCAATCTTAGTTTCAACAAAGAACAAGAAGTTCGTTATCTAGTTCCAGTATGACAATCTCAAATGGGATAATGTTACTGCTGTATTTTAGCCCATCTGGAAATACTTGTAACACTATAAAGGATTTTATGATTTAATATAAGAGGATAAAGAATTTAAATATATAGATTGAAATCTACAGAGAGAGGGGCAGAGTTTTAGTTTCTTGTTCTTGGTGCCTCAAAAATCTTATTTGGAGAATTTTCTTGCTCAAATAGATCCTTTTTTTTTTTTTAAGACAAATCAGTTTTATAACCTCATAAAATATCTACAGCAGACATTATTCCTGTTCCTTGAATATTAAGTATATTGTCCTGCTTTGCTTTAAAAAAAGATGTATTTTCAACTTTCATAGATAAAAAAGATAACAGACAACAAAGCTAACAGCCTTTTACTATTTATCAAATCTAAAAAATATGTTGCTAACAGGTCAGGTTCACTGATTAAGGACTTAATTCCCACTGAAATACATTTCAGTTTTGGAAAGGCTCTGAAGACTGGCCAAAAGGAAGTGAGGAGGAATGAAACACTAAGCTATGGGAGCTGGTGACAGTAAGAGAAAACAACCATCTCTCCTCACTCCAGCCTTCTCTGAGGTCATCAGTTAAGTGATCAACATACTCTGGCTTTCCTACTCCATGACTTTTTCACGTAAGCTGTATCAAAAGATAATATGAACACCATTACCTTCTAGTACAGCACACAAAAGCAACAGGCAAGGCAATGCAAGCTCTGCAAAGCAATAACAGGAGAGGCAAGAAAGGGGGTAAGCAGAGATGCTATATATGTGCAAAACATGTCAAAGTGAAGGCATTGGTACTTCTTCCCAGGGTTACTGATGCAGACACTAAACAAGGTACATCCCAGCATGGACCACAGGTGCACACCCTTCAAGTTCCCACATGACATCAAACTGGGAGGACCAGCTGATACATTCAAGGGCAGGGCTGCCGCAGAGAGACCTAGAAATGCCAGGAGAAACAGGCCAAGGGGAACCCTATGCAATTCAACAGGGACAAATGCAGAGTCCTGTGCCAGGGAAGGAAAATTCCTGCCAGTGACAGAGGTCTCTCTGCTGAAAAGGACCAAGGCCTTTTGTCAGCCAGCAAGCCGAGCAGGAGCCCACAGTGTGCCCTGTCTTCAGAGACAGCTGCCAAAAAGACTGTGCTAACAAGGAGCCCAGCCCACTGATCAAGGGATGTGATTACTCCCCACTGGCCCACAGTCCCCATTGGACCACATCAAGATACTGCTCTCACAGACCAAGGAGAACACAGAGAAACCAGTGTGACTTTAGCAAAAGGCCTGTGGGGATGAAGCATCTAACCTGTGGGAGAAGCTGAGGGAATGGCTGGCTCAGCCTGGAAGTAGAGACAACTTTGGGAGTACTAAAATTAGCCACACCATCACTCATGAAGAGGCCATCAAACAGAGGAAGCCAAGCTGGTCTAAGCAGCGCACAGTGGGAAGACCAGAAACAAAAACTGAAATGAGAGGTTCCTATTGGACGTAAAGAACAGCTTTTCCACTATGAGATAGGCCTGAGCAACTTGCTTTTGACCTCCAGGTTGATCCTGCTCACTGTTCAGACTACGGAGATCCTGAGCTCCCCTCCTGTCCCATTTGTCCTGTAGCCTAAGAAGTGCTGCCCACAGAAATACACATCCCACAGGAAAGCTTTGAAATACAAGTAAAGTAACTCCATTAATGAAAATGTGGATTGTGCTCCATTGACAATCAGAACAATAGTATCTAAAACAAATGGTAACTTGTAGCCAGGTTTCCCAGGAAAAATGCAAAGTTAGAATACTGCATCTAACATTTCAGTAGCACTAAGAGATGGTCCAACCATTTCTTTAGACAGGCAGCATCTACCTCTACTTTTGCAATATCTGGTACACCTAATGAATTATTTCATCCCAAACTACAGTATTTTCTTCACCTCATAACTCCTCATACAACACTACTGTACACTGTTAATTGCCCATCCCAGAGCTGACTCCATTTTGCAATGAGATTTGCCCATTAAGTTCTGCTAATTCTGGCACTACAAATTTGAGATTATTACAACCTCCAGGATGCAAGCTCTTCTGTTATTGCTCCACTGTACACTGTTATTACTCCATGGTTGCTTAAAGTACTCACTTTATGAAGCACTTCAGACATGCCATAATCACAGTAATATGCCCTGGATGGCAAGTCTTACAGCATACATTGTATGACAGAAATTATTACACAGTACCTGGTAAAATCCTTTTAACCTTTCAAAAATCAATGTGTGCTCTTGAAAAGAGAAAGCGTAATTCCAAGCTAGATTTAGAAACATTTTCTGGTGAGTGCCATGCGAGGGAAAGAAGAGCAGGAAAGAAAGAGGACATTAAGTAACTTTCTAGTTACAGTCCATAGTATAAGTTTCAAAATATACAGAGTAGCAAGAAAAATTAAATAAAAAAATTGGAAGAATGTTAAGGAAGCCAAGATCAAAAATGAAACTAACTCATCTTTCAAGTCTGTAATGTAATTTAAATATCCTTCACCATCTAAATAAAGAATGGAGCATAGGGAATGTCTTTTTTTTAATTTATCACTGCCTTATCAAATCGGTTCACACACACAGTTATGCTATGCTCATGTACCACTGTGCTATCACATTCCACTAAAAAAAAAAAAAAGGAATCACAACGTATTGAACAATTTGGACTTTGTGATCTACAAAAGGACTCAGAATGATGTTCTTTGTTTTCAGATGGCCTATACAGGGGAGCAAATAAATTACTTACTAATCCCAGAGAAAAAGAAAATTTCCACACAGGCTTCTGTGTATGTACAATTACAAAATTAACATTCAACATCTGAAGGCATACCCAGAGTTGAAAGACTAATGCAAAATTAGTCTTTGATCCAGCATACTTCTCTCCTAGCTGTCAATTACATTTGTTTACTTTGCAGAGAAGCATATGTTTCTACTGCTAGCCCTAGAGTTGTAGAAGTAAAATGCTAAACTTCATAATGCCATTCTCTGTGTTTTCTCAAAACTGCAAGCTAATATAAAGAAACATCATTAACAACAAAAAGGATGACAATGATTGCAGCTTGTTTTCTGAAAAGGAATAGAAAATTATATAATGAATGAGTTGAGTTAATGCTTTAAAATGAGGGAGTATAAATACGGAACACTAACAGTCATTTTTGCATAGTCTTTTTATCTGTCTATAGCTACATTGCTTTCAGTCAGAATACTCTTTTCAGCAATTTTAAAGTCAGAATAAATTAAAACTGCTGAAAAAATATGTAAAGCCTTGAGAAAATATGAAAAAATACAGATTTAACAGTTTTTTCAGCACAGATTTAAATACTACTACTCAGGGTACTACTGTAACCATGAAAAGCTCCTGAAGCAACAAACAAGACACAAAAATGAGAAGGAAAGAGGGCCAAAGCCCTTGTTGCCAAAGAAGTCTCACTGCCAGGAACAGTGTATTTTGCCATACAGAACAGTAACACCATTTACCTCTAAAGCAGTGTGACACTGCTTTATGACTCTGTAAAATGAAATGACTCCTGACTTCAGAGGGCATAAAACTTTTCTTTCCCACCATGCCATCAGTTTCACACAAGCACACTTTTGTGCCCAGGAGGAGGCACACATGCTCCCTTTGACTCCTGAGGAGAGGGCAGAGGCACAGATGCAGTTCAGCATCCTTCCAAGTACATATGCTATCAGGTGAGCCCTGCACTTATACATATGAAAATGTATACATGAAAAGAAAATTATAAGTCAGGCATGAGATGCAATGATTTCAGACAAGTAAATATCTCTGTGCATGAGTTTGGAGTAAGAGAAAAGGTGACTGTACTACCTGAGCTATAGAAATGCCTGCAAAGCCCTGTTCTCCCCCAGACACCAAGATCTCAAGCCAAAAACTCGAGCATTAGTTAGAAACAGAAAGCAATAGAAGAGTACAGAGAGCACCCAAACATAGCACAGTAGCTAACAGTTGTAGACATTCAGTTAAAGAAAAACAACTAAGACATTATTTTCTATAACTAACTTATTTATTAGTATATTACAGATGTTATTTACTAACATAAATAGCAGTCACACTGGTCCAATAGATGAGTCATCCACTAAACAATCATGAGCAATGGAAAGAAGGCTCAGAAGGAGGTCAAAGTAATCAGTTTTCTACCAGTTGAAAATAAAAGCCTCCTCCTTGCAAATACAAGAAATGAGCTCTGCTTTAACAGGCCAGAGGCAACTGCCACTGTCCCACTAGTAGATTAACAACAGAGAGACGACACAATGCCCACAAAGGGCATCAAAGTTAAACACAATAAAGAAAAGACTGCTCTCCAAGGAATCCACTGACAAAAATGAAACTATTTGAGCAGAAAAGTTGTGTCTTGGACATTCCACGCAGATGCCTTTTGGGAAAAACTACCTTTTTCTAGATCAGCATGATGAACAGTGCATGAAGCCAGGAAGTGGCAACAACGTACAAAAGGGAGGTTTATGGTACAAGCATACAACGCAGGTGGATCCCTGAGATGTCATGCTGAAAACACACATAAAATTCAGAAACTCATAAAAAAATTTAGAAGCTTGTAGGGAAAGGATGTAAAATGAGGAGCTAGTTGAAGACAGCATGGAGATACTAACCTCAAAAACTAAGTAATGTTCAGAATATAATACCTTCTACTTTGAAAATATGTCATTCAAAGTCACAGTGAAGATGCTTCTAAAAACAGAAATTACAACTGTGGAAGAAATAAAAAGGTGATCAAGGTAGAAAAGCAGTATAAAAAAAAAATATCTGATGTTTTGAAACTTCAGGAATCAGAAACTATAAACCATATCTTTGTAGTTGTTGTCTTCCTCCTTTGCAGTTTGTCAGCCAGCTGAGTTACAACAAAAAGGAACACAATAAAGAACTCCTTTTTCAAAAACATAATTTTATCTAGCTCTCTAGCTAGAAAGGGTGGCATCACCTACAATCATGTAACAAACATATGCAAGAAGCTATGTTTCAGTGACAGAAAGGCAGGGGGTTTTTGCCAGCTATACAAACGATGGACAATAAGAGGGTCAAGAGGAGGTTCCTTATCCTTCAAATTACTGCACGAGACACACAAAAGATATTAATAACTAATTTCTTTATTAAAATACATGAGATAAAGCTAAGGTTCTTTTAAATACCAAGTACAGCAGAAGCATTTTTCAGTTTGCCAAGCAGAGTGCAAGTCCAAATGGTATGTATGTACTAGGTACTTCATGCAATCATTTTTACAAAATGCCTAAAGCCCCTTTAAGTATGAGGCGAATTTTTAAAAGCATGGTTATTTTCAGCAATTAAAAGGTTAACACCTTCAAAAATCTTGGCATTTCTCTATTTAATTTTTAGACAGGAAGAAGTCTGTTTCACCTTTCTTGACAATAAGCTCTCCTGTAATCCTGTAATTTTCAGGAGCAACTGGAAAATAACTATTTGTTCAATCTTTTAGGAAAAGGTGTCTGTTTCTCACACAAAAACTTTTGGACTGACTTTACATTTTTATAAGATATGTTTAGCTGAATTCATAGTCAGGGCAAATATCCTTTGGCACTGTATGAAGCTTCTTCCTCTCTCACAGAAGCCTTCCTTGATGGCCTGGTATTTCTCAGAACCAATAAACACCTAGTAAACTGCTGCCAATATTTAATTAGGTCCTTACTAAGTTTCCCTGCTTGTTAGCAGGACTTCCCATTAAGCTTCAGGAAGGAAATTGTTCCTTGTAAACACGAAGCTCCAAATAGACCAAGATCTTCACCTGCTCAGGGTCTATGACCAAAAAATAATGAGGTATGTTTTACACTGAAAAAGTTGGTGGCATGCTTACTTTATTTCCCCTAACTCTCATTCCTGTAGCAACTCTTTTTTGTACGGCAGATATGGGGAGCAAGCCAGCGTTTCCAATAAAACACCCTTTCCCAGAGGTGTTACAGACAGCACGCTCTAGAAGCAACAGCAGATAAAACGGGGAGAGCAGCGGGTTCTCTCTCTATCCGTGAGCGCCTCCTGCGTGACACCGACACCGCTCTCTTGCGGTCCGGGATCTGGAGCGCTGCCTGCCCACCGCCGGCGTGACTCAACCCTTTTCGGTGCATCCCCCCGCCGAGCGCCCGCCGTGCGGCCGCACGGAGCCGGGACCGCGCCGGCACCCGCCCTGCGCCAGCGCCTCCTGGCAGCTCCCAGCCGAGCCGCAGGCCAACTGCGAGGCGACCAGCACCGGCGCGGGGACCTGGCCAAGCGAGAAGGGCTTCATAAACGAGTGTCACAACTTGGCTTTCCAAGCCCGGCGGAGCTGCCGGAAAAGCCGGTTCCTATTCCTAACATGGGAGCTAGCCGGACGGTGGCTGCCGGGTTGGCTCTCGGCGTTAAGAGCCTGCCAGCCCTGAGGAAATCACCGCAGGTCCCGGCGGCGGCTCTCTCCAGGCCGGGTTTCCCTTTATCCTGCCCTATGCGCGGGCGGCTGCAGCCGCGGCGACGGGCGGAGACGCGCTAGGGAAAGGAGACGCGCTAGGGAAAGGAGCCGCGCCGGGCAGGGCCGCCCCTCGCCCCTCCGACAGGCCCGGCCGCAGGAACCGCCCGCCGCCAGCACCTCCGCCCAGCCCGGGGGACGACACCGCCCCCAGCCGGGACGGCGGGCCCGGCTCGGCCCGTCCCGTCCCGTCGGTGCTCGGGCCGTCCCACGGCGAGAGGGCGGGGGCGGACAAACTCACGGCCTCCGGGGCCGCGACGGCCCTAACCCGCACCCTGTACCGCAGGACGGGCCGGACAGGGTCGCTGGCTCCGGCTCCGGCGCGGGGAGCGCAGCTCCGAGCCCGGCCGGCACCAGGAAGCGGCACCGGCGCGGCACCGGCACGACACGCCGCCCTCGCCGCTGGGGTGGGTCTCGCTGCCTTACCCGCTGCAGAATCCGCCTGAACATGGTGGTAGAGCGCAGATGCCGCCGGGAGGCCGCGGCCAGGCCGAAGGGAAGCCGCGGGGCCCCGCGCAGCGCCGCCCCCGCCCCGCAGGAGCCCGGTGCGGCCCGCTCGCCCCGTGACAGCCGCCGCGGACGGGCAGGCGGGGCAGCGGCCGCGCTCCGCCCCGGGGAGGGGCGGGTCCCGCGGGGAAGGGGCTGTGGCCATCGCCCGACTTCGAGGAGCGGGGGAGGTAGAACGGGATAGAGGTGCGGAGCGGGCCGGGGCCTGCCGCCGGGGCGAGATGGGCTCCGAATACCGATCGCTCCACGGGGCCCCGGCCCCGCTCCTTCCCGCCGCATCGGGCCCAGCGCCGCAGTTCTGCCTGTCCCTGCGCTGTGCCCGGGGTCTCCGCCGCACGAGAGGTGTCCTGGCTGCTGAAGGCAGCGGGAGGGCGGCCGTGTCTTGCCCCGGCCATCGGCCGTTCTCCCCTCGGGGGCTGCCCCAGGCTCCCCATAGCTGCGGGCACCAATCTGGCATCGGCCGAGAGAAGCAGAAGGACTGCAGGCTGAGCGTGCTGCTGAGGGCTCACTGAAGGAGGCGAAGCGCAAATGCAGCTCCGTGTTACTTTGTTACTCGTGTGGCACGGAAAGTGCTGAGATATTCGCGTTCAGTGAGGGTTGTTGAACCAAACTCCTTTGGATGATTAACCGGAATTTTAATTCTGATGAACACTCCTTGCTTTAAGCCCTCAGCTGAAAAGACGACCTAGTGGCGTGACCCATTAGGTGTCTTTTAAATATCAATAAAGAACATTTTACTCACATAAACACACACCTCCCCTCAAAAAAAAAAACTAAAAAAAAAGGCACAACCCATTAGAAGGGGGTCTTTAGGCGTTTCAGGGAGTCTGTACCTCTGAAGTACCTCAGCCAATGGGGAAAGGGAGAGGGAAAATGCAGCCGGGAAATTAGGATAAAAAGGAGGAGCTTCATCCCCTAAAAATTTTGAGAGAACTCCATGGGGAATGCCCCATGACGTTTCCCTTTATTTGGATAAAGTTACAACACTCGTCTGTCTCCTTTTTAGACATAAACTGTTTGTGGATTAATTTTCCTGACAAGCTTAACTGAGAAAGAATCAGTATCCCCAGGTGCTGAGGCAAAACCCCACATCAGATGTGGCAGGAGAGTTGCTGGAATACCTGTACCCTCTAGAATATGTAATTCAACAAGATACAGTTCCCTGTTCTATCCAAAAGCTGCAACTTTCACATGTTGGATGCCAGACAAAGGGTCACGAGTAAATAATAAACTTGTTTAACAACTAATTGTGCCGACCAGAACAAATATCACAGCAGAACACCAGTTGTCCTGTAAAGATCAAAAACCTTTTTCCACCCAGAAACTGACATTTCTAAGTACTCTAAAATCCTCAGACATTGCGTGAGTTGTGAGCACATGACCAGAAGAATTTGGCTGCTGCAGCTGGAGGCTGCATTATGTGACTGGACTCAGTTTGCTCCAGCTAGAGATTCCAGTGTGTTTCATGTTAATGTCATTGGATCCACAACTGAAGCACATTAAGAGCACACACACACTTGGTAATGGCTTCAGCTGATAAGTGGTGACTTTGGCCACACCTATCACATCATTTTCCTGTGTCCATAGTACAAGATGGCTTTGAAATTTGTCATTTAGGTGGGTTTTTTTCTGAATTTTGTATTTGGGATTAATAATGGGAACAAGATTGGTTTTGTACAGCTCTACAGATCTTTAAATATTTAGGCAAACCATAGATATTTACTCTGAATCTAAACAGAAATGACCGCAAGTTTTATAGATATTTCAACAAGAGTGACAGCCTATACAACAAACTGCCAGAGTGCTTAATTTGCCAGACCCAGGTAACTTGACCAAACCATCTTTGTAGAATGTTTTTTACTCTCCTAGATTACCAATTCCTGAGTGCTCAGAGGAAGATGAGAATTTGAGGACACTAGTTAAAAGCCTTGTATCAGAGGAGGCTTTTCTTACCAAGACTTATCAGAAATACATGATCCTTTCCTTGTGTGGATGTTAGAACACATGCATCTGCCTCCTTGTCCAAGCATCATTCCCTCAGTAACCTGTTAATCTGTGGGCCAATTTCAAATACAGCAGAGTCAGATGAGGCTCAAAGATACTAAGTTCCTACAAATTTAAATAGGTAGCCAGGGAGAGGAGAGACCCTACTGAATCCTGGCGGTAAGGAAAGATTGCAGTGTGGTTGCTTTTACGTACCAGAGAATGCACATAAAAACTCACTCTTGGGGAAGAGATCCAGGAGAAAAAAATTAAGTCCAATTTAATAAAAAAAATAGAAGTCCAACTTCTAGTGGAAGTCCTTGGTTTTAATTATTGTGTGTATGGTAATGTCTATGAATTCATATCATGTGCTCTCCTAAAATTCAACAGAATATTCAGCTGTTGGTAAATAGGCTGTGTCCTCAGGCTTGGGAGCTGTAAACTTCATTTTATGCAACCTCATTAACTCTGTTAAGGGTTTGGTGACTGGAGGGTTAGAAGGTGCCTTTCTAAAGAGTCGATTGTTGGTAGAAAGTGTCAGAACACAATCACAGCAAAGATTCTTCCAAAACCAGCTGAGAACAGGTACCTTTTCCTTTAAACACAAGCTGAAGGCTGAGAGTCTGAACTACAACAGCCTCTGGCATATCTGTCAAAGCCAGCATTTTTTTATTTCTGTACATAACTGAAATCAGTCTTTTGACTGTACAAGCAGTTTTCAGGGTGGCTGAGGTGTGCACCAGCATTTCTCAGATTTTCCAATAGATAACTTTGGGGTTTTGTTGGGGAGTTATTCTTTGGTTTTAATGTCTATGCAAATAGTCAAATAAAAAGCAATTACATCTGGACCATGGCTCACAAGAATTGGTGTTCACACAATCTTCTACCCCAAATGAGGGCTACATTGAAACTGTCATTTGGTAGAAAATGGCAAGGAACACATTTGGTACATGCACAGTACATATACTTGCTTATGCTTACAGCCTACAAGTTTCTGGGCTATTTATTGTCCTACATGTTTTCAGTGTTTATACAGATGACTATTTTCAGTCATGTAAAATTCCTGACCTCAAAATCTCTTGGTCAGAAGTTCCTTTGGTTCACGATGTGCTGCACTGGAAAAGTATCCTATTTTTTCAAGATGTTGTTTTAAAATATCCTATTTATGAAAGGTATCAGCCTCTGGTTGGTTTTCTTCTCCGTAGCTCTTTAAATGTACACTTTTGATTGTCATTGTGTGCTGTTCCGTATACTCTCAGTAAGCAGCTTTCAAATTTACTCATATCTTTTTCTGAAGCTCTGTCCTTTCAAGCTGAGCTCTATGAAACTCAATTGAACACAGTTTGTTAAAAGGATATGGTTTAGTTTACATGCTGATATTTGGTCAAAGGTTGGACTTAATGATCTTGAAGGTCATTTAAAAACCTCAATGACTCTATGAAAGGTCAAAATTTGGAAGATTTATGAAGTGCAGATTTGGGCAAAAATATATTTTCAGCTGAAGGCCAGGCTATTTAGCAGCACATATGGACAACTGCTGGGTAATGGGGGCTACACAGACCTTGCCAGACAGTGCTAAAGCTGGCAGCTGCCAGTCCCTTCCTGCCTGCCTCTGGCATAAATAGGGTACATACACAGCAGCCACAGGAGAACTAAGATATCAAGAACAGCTAAAAGGCTTTTCAGACTTCTCAAATTATGAAAATCTGTGTTTGTTACTGATCTTACTATTTACATAGAATATATTTAAAAATAGAATATAGCTAAGTATTAAAATTATAGCATATATCTTGCCTTCAAAGAGTTTGACAGTTTAGACTGAACTCTCAGTATTTTGTTACTGACTTTTTGTTTCCCTCTCTGCTTTAGTAGCAGAAATAAATGTGTTTAACCTGAAAAAATATTTTGGCTGGTTTTAAATCATTGTTAGCAAATTCAAAAATAATCAGTTGCTTGGGCACTAATCTTAGACATGGTAAATCTGTATAATTTCATACTCAGCCCAAAATTGTCTGCTGTGTAACACTCTCCAGTTACTAAAAAAGGAAATTCTGTTATCTCTCGATGGTGAAAAGACACTGGACTTTTGTGATGAAAAACTTTATAGAACAGTCAAATATTACTAATAATATTTAGTAAATTAGTAAGTTTATTGGCAACCAGTTAGGTGGTGATAACCAAATTATTTATGAGCAGTGTAAGACATTAAGTCTATTGTCCCATTAAAAACATCTCCCACAGCTTTACAGAATCTTCATCTTCTGTCTCTCCAAGGCCACTCAAGATCCCCACCACACAGGATGTGCTGTAGTCACTTCAGAACTGCACGGGAACTTAAGTTGCTTATCTTTCCAGTAGCACAAACATGGATCTTTCACCTCTGAAATGGGTAGTCATTAATTTTGTTAGAAGCCCAAGAAATGTAACTGCCTTTGAGATACCTACACCTGTTTCTGCTTAGAGGTTTACTGCTCCATGAGTTCAAAAGGTGTGCAGTGGGGAGCAGAGGGAAAGGACATTGAAAGGCACAAGAAGCCACTTCTGCTTCTCTAAAGGACCTAGGCAAAACCCATAGGGTAGTTTTAGTCTATGCTTGAACTAATCACCAATGGCTCCTGACCCATTCCCTTCTCACTATTGGGAAAAATAACAAAATAACAAAAATAATCCTTCACTCATGGTACTGGGGAGGTTGGCTGGAGCACCAGTACTTCCTCCTGCATGTATGAGAGTGTGTTTGCTCAGCTGCTTTAGAACCTGGCTAACTCTGTGGTGATGTCTAACAAAGGGCTGGTGACGTGGGGCCAGTTCCTGTGCTACAGAGAGCCTCTTTCAAGTGAGTGCAATTACTTGCATGAGTAATGAGCGTGTGTACTAATAAAGGTTGCGTGGCTAGCATTATACCAAATCCAAGAGCTCCAAGTCATGACTTCATTCTAGTATTACAGAATCTGAACGTTGTAAAATTTGCACAGCTCTCTGTAAGAAACCCCAGTTAAGAACAGAATAACAGAATTATCTCTGTTAT